CCCCCGCCCCAGTTCTGCAATAAAAAACCTTCATAAACAACACAAACCAGAAAATGTTTAGGTTAAGGTTGTCAGTCAGAGCAGCTCTGCCACCACTACTTTTGTTAGCAGTGGATTTTTTATAAAATTCAGACTTTTTGTCCTTCTAAAAGTAGCACAGGAATGCAATGGAGAAGGAGCTTTTCATATTTACTGAAGCAGTCATCCACACACAGCTACTTTCAATAACTTGTAGAAAAACATTTTGCCTCCAGTATATGGGCAGAGAATTGTTGTCCTTCCATAGATCAGACTGATTATTGTGTTTTTTGGCAGCACAGCTAAGGATGACACAGGAGGACAATGGGAACAGGAGGAGATGCCTTTGGGTTTTGGCTCTTTGGGGTAAACTATGCTCTTCTTCCACATTATCAAACAGACCTGTCCTTCAGGCATCAGTGTGGGATAAAGTTCTACTTTATTATCTACTATTTATTTATGTGCTTTTCTGCATGGAAGGAGTGTAGGATTAGGCTTGGAGACAGGGGACCAGAATTTTTAGAGAATTCCTGAAGAATTATTTCTGCCTGGAGTTACGTGGTGGAATTGAAGTATTCATGTGAAATCTTCTGTTATATCAGGGCAAATCTCAGTTAACTTGGACTTAAGGGGAATAATTCCCAATATATAGTAAGAATTGAATTATTTACTTTAATTTTTTTTAAACAAATCTTTCTTGTTTAAGTGCTGGCTGGCTACAATATATCACTTCTCAAATGTTTGTAGTCTTCCATTTTGGTGGTGCTCAGGGTCAAACTGAATAAAAAATAAAGTTGTGCTCCCTCCAGCATCACATAATTACTGTGATAAATGGTCTCATATGCTGCTTCCCCCCATTGAGCCTGAAGTACTGTAGTTAGCGTGGTGGTGTTGGACATGACATGAAATAGCTTCTATTTGCTGTGCCTTTAAGGTCTTAAAGTTTCCTATTTCCTGTTCCTTTGATGAGTCATTAACTTCTAATGCTCAGCTTTGGAATTATTGCTGTATTTAATGTGATTTCCCTAAAAACAGGAGATGAAGAACTTCATAGGCCATGTCTCTTTTCAGAGTTTTTCCCTCAGTTTCCTAGTCCTACTGCCACCATTGAAACCCCAGGACTGGTGGCAATGAAACTCTGAAAAACCAGGGAAGATGTTACAGAGAACTATTCTTTTTTTTAAGGAAAAAAAAGAAAAGTGAAGAAAAACTGAATGTTTTGAATCTTACAGAAAACTCTGTCTGCATTTAACATTTGAGGTTCAAAGTTTTAACTGTGCCTTATGCAAAACTCACTAGGCTGAAAGTCACTATTAAGACATTAATATTTTGCTTAAAAACCTGTAAGTGAAGATGAATGGAAATACTTGAGAGATCTGCTTCTTCCTTTGACCTAAAGCTTTGGTGTGAAAGAGGGCTTGAGAACCCATGTGCAAACCAGCCCTTTTTGTCACATTTTTGCTTCAGCCTGCAGTCACACCAGAAAAGCTGCAAAGTTGTATGGGAAGAGAATTCTGTGTTCCTGTAAAAAACTTGGCTCTGTGAAATCCTTGAAGCACTGGCATTAACCTTTACTTTTGGATAGGGAAACTGAGGCACAAGGCATGTGGATAAAGCCCAAAGGCAGCAGTCTAGCCTTGGCTGGAGTCTAGAAATATGCAGACATGTGAATGATAGACCACAAACTGACAAAAAGGTTATTTATTTTCATTTTTCATTTCTAAGGGTGCTTTTCTGAGCACTCCATATAAATGGAGCCGTTGGAGTCAGTAGGAGTTTGTGCTGTGGCTGGGCTCTGTTGCCTCTTTTGTTAGACTTGTAATGCTTGCAAATTAGTTAATGTAACTTTCTGACAGCACCAAAGTGCCCTAGGTCCTCTTAGGGTTTTTATTTTGTTTGTGTTTTAACCTCCAGCGAGACTGTTCAGTTCCTTTTTCTAGTATAGCCTAAAAGCTGGTGTTATTTAACAACCCAAAGTAGAAAAACATAGCCTTAGGGTATTCCAGCATATTCTAGTCATCACCCTGTTATCCGTAACCTTGGGTTGACATGAGATCCTCAGATGGAAATCTTTAAATAAATGCAAAGCACTTTGGCTGCTGTGCCAGCCAGGCTGGGGGTCATGCTGGCCATGGGTGCAACCAGGGAGTGAAGCTGCATGGGGAGGACATGTGTCCCTGTGTCCCTGTGTCCCTGTCCTGTCTGTCCCCACTTGCTCTTGTGGAGCCAGACCTCTCCAGGCTGGGTCCAGGAACGCAGGGACCACGAGTGGGTTCTGCAATCCCATCCTCCAGCAGGGATTGGCTTTCCCTGTGAGGCCAGCCAAAGGACATTGCCGTTTTTGGAGCCATCTCAGCACAGCAGGTCCTTTTACCTGTAGCAGCTGAACTTTGAAGGTGCCTGGGAGGGCTGTGTGAGGAAGAAGAGGAGAGAATCAGAGGGAAGGAAACTCCTCTGGCAGAGGCACAGCTGCCCCCAGCAGGGACAGTGGTCCCTGGGCTTGCATCTGCCAGTCAGCTGAGCCTGGATTCCACACAGCTCTTTCATGTGTGGCTGCAAATTACAACAGCCTCTTTTTTAAATTTTATTTTTATTTTTCAATGCAAAGTAGCAAATCAACAGAGTTATTTTGGTGCAGAACCGCTTCCTGGCGAGGCCTTGTCTGTGACAGCAGGAGGGCACGTGGCTGTGCCGTGCTCCAGCTCCTGCAGGGCTGGGATGGCGGGGGAGGCGAGCGGGAGAAAGCCTGGGATCATCAGAAACAAATGGTTCAGCTGTTTCCAATAGGGCCCTGCCCTGTAGGGTTCCCCATTTCCAGCCCCAAAGCTCTGCAGGAGGAGCTGAGTTAAACTGACAGGTGCTGCACTGCTTGTCTCTACCTGGCCACGTGTTTAATGGGTGATTTCCTGTGCTGGTGTGTACTGGAAACTCTCCTTGTGCTCCAGGGATGGATTCCAGCTGCTTTTCCCACTCCCACGCAGGCAGAGAAATGAGTCAGGAAAGTGCACTGTGCTCTCTCATTTATTGAAAGAGATGAGAACGTCCTGAACGAGAATGGAAGTTCAGGAAACTTAGTGAGATCCCAGGCACTAAAACTCTATCCTGGAAAACAGCCTCTTTCTTCTGCCTTGATCTTCTTTCCCTTTGGAAATGCAGGTGTTTGCTGTGAGAGCTGGCAGCCCCACTCCCCCAGGTCCCACACTGTTTCATACAGACAACTTCCACATTCCCCCAGTGCCTTCATTTGGGTTTTTTGTTTGGCTTTTCCAAGAACAGGAAGGTGTGAGCCATCACTGCTCATCTGGCACAACTTGCCTTATGGAAGTATCCCTATGCTGTTTCCTCATTAGCAAGGTTTTTCAGCATCTCCTTAAACCTACACCTAAATGAAGGTAGGTCTGAATGCGTCCCTGTCTTAAAAAGTTGCTGTGATGCCCAAGCTATCAGCCACCTGGCTGCAGAAGCAGGGATGTTATCCTTTCCACAGATGCTTTAAAAATAAAAAGTATTCTGATTTGTGTCATCAGTTCCTACTGCTGATGTTGGAAACCCAGGGTGAAAGCTACAGAATGAAGTCCTGTGCCTGCATTGCTGTACAGGTCATCCCCGCTTTAAAACTCCCAATTATTTCTCCTGCCCACTCCCATATAATTCTTTGAATTCTCTTTGATCTCTTTTCCTCATGTCTGTGGCAGAAGCAGGGCTGGGAGGGAGTGTCTGCACTGGCACGGGCAGGAGTCACCCCAGCACTTTCCCTGTGCTCTGGTTGCAGGAGAAAAGGGGTTTTGCTCTGCAGACTTGGAGCAGTTTTGGCAGCAATAAGGCCATAAAACAGTGGCATTTCCACTAAATCCAAGCCTTTCCTGAGGAGCAGTTGGAGCGTGGGGCAGGTCAGCGTGAGGATGTGGATGTCACAGGAGCGTGTCCTGCCTGGTTCAGCCCCCTCTGATCCTCCTGGAGGCATCACTTAATGGGACCTAAGAAATATTGTCTCATTTACATATCCTCTGAACTAATTAAAAGACAATAAGGCCATGTGGGATTGCAGTTTTGTGTCACAGAAAATATCTGATGTGGGGAAATAGAATTGCTTTATCTTGATGAGATTTTTTTAAAAGATAATATTTCAACAAAGAAGTTTAAAAAAATACTGTCTTTGATGAGGAAACTGAGAATCCAGGATAGAACACTGATTGAGGGATTTGGAAGAGCTGGGTGTTGGCCAGCTCATGGAGCAGAAGGGATAAGGCAGGATGGTGCAGACACTAAACCCAAGAAAAACAATAGACAACATGCAGGCCTGTTAATAACTTCATTAGCATTCATGTAAAGCATTAAATAAACAAATGCATAATACACAAATCCTGTGAGCCTGAGATTATTAACCCTTAACACTTCTCTGGTGTTTCTGCAGGAGCAGAACAGAGCAGAGGCTGTGATTCTGTGCTTTGCCTCCCAGAGTTTTAACACATTGAGAAACTGAGTCACAGGGAGATTGCTCAGGAGCTGGAATACTGGAAAGCAACCAGTACTGCAGCAAGGATCACAACTGAGAAATCTAGGCAGTACACAGAGGAAAGGACTTCTGCTTCCCCTGCATGAAACCCAGAATAAACCCCAGCTGATCAAGTCTTGCTTGCAAGCTCTAAGTGCCTGTTTGTAAGAAATTTTGAGCAAAAATTAAATTTGACTGAAGCACTGCCTTGGGGCTGCTAACCTTTTGTAGCAGATTTTCAGTGCCTTTTAATAGCTGATCTTTGGTTACTTGTGATCACCAGCTCTCCAACCTGTCTTTATTCCTTTGATGGAACCAATGAACTTTCAGCTCAATGGTGGGGGTTTATTCCCTCCCCCATGCAGGTTTTTATTAGTGAGGGGCTTTAGGCTACACTGGTGTTTATTTGTTTTGTGCTGGGCATAAATCTCCTGGGTTCCCTGGGGACTGCACCCCCTGGATGAATTCCTGCCCCTCCTCAAGGGGCTGAGCCCCTCAAAACCCAGATTGCTGGGCTGAAGTCACTTGGGTTTTCAGCTATACTAACAACCAGATATATTCATATATACAACTACAGATGAAGTGCCATGGCAACTTTTGTCCAATGGGTTCTGTTTTCTTCCTTTCCCTTCCTTTGAGTTGAAGTTCAGCTCTGGGAAAAGGGAATTTTTCTATTACAGTTTGTGCTAAGCAGAATTGCAGGGGAGGATTGTGAGCAGGTAACTTTTTTTTGCATGGTTTCCTCAAGAAATTGTATTTACTGATGTTTCATTTCCTATGTATTTCCTCATTTATGGGATGGGGATTATTAACCTGCGTGAATACAGTGGTTACATCAGACAGATAACCTGAAGGGCACATATGGCTTTCATAAAAATATACCACCCATTTCCATCATTGTGAACTGTGTCATCCACCAGTTGGGCTGCCATAAATCGCTGTGAAATGCACACAGCCTTAACCAGTAGTGAGGAGCACATAACTTAACCATGGAGTAACTAACCATCTTAATAAATCTAAGTTCACTCTTTGCTGGAGACACTTCAGGGAAAGTGGGAACAATTTCTACAGCCTCTTATCCCACGTGGTCGTGGTAATGTAAAGGGTAAGCAGAGTTCTTGTTCTGCAGAGAGATCCCTATACCCTGCTCTCTGTTTCACCCTCTGTGTTTGGGAATCTGTGTCTCGTGTAAAACAAATAAAAAGCCCTGCCAAGCAGCCAGCTCTGCAGCCAGAGTGCCCAGCACCCGTGTGAAGGGCCGTCATTAAAAGATTTCATGAAACAGCCTTAAAAATGAAAAGTTTCCTTTCCGAGAGAGAGAGAGAGATAATTGAACTCATTGATTTGTTTCACGGTTTGTTTGCCCTTTCATTCCCTTCCTGAGGTGCTGTTTGTTGAGGAATGTCTCCAATTGCCAGAAAGACAGTGGGGTGTCTAATATTTCCCCGCCAGCTCTCCTTTCAGCCAGAGCAGAGTACTGTGGCAAGCCTACGATATGAATTTTTAATGCAGAACTTTATAACATAGCCCTTGCAGCACGGCTGCACTACTCTCTTGAGCTTTCAGATTTAATGCTCTGATGAACAGAGCACAGACTTGGGGCATTCGACAGCAGTTGGAATTAACCCCTGCCTTACCCGGGGTGTAGCACTTCATTTCCCTGTAGATTAACACACATGGGATGAATATCCCAGATGCGCCATCCAGCCAGGATTTTGACTCCCAAAATTATCAAGGCTATGCTTTACCTCTTTTAATAATGGGAATTTTTGAGGCTGTTCCCTTTTCCTGGGCACCACAACGCTGCAGTCATTCTGTAGTGCATAAAAGGACACTGTCTTGCCCACTGTCTGTGCTCTGATAACGACCCAGGCTCGATGGCCAGAGAGGGAAAAAAGATTAAATCAGCTCTGTAATGCATCATGGAGATGAATTTGCCATAGGTTCCTGCTCTTCCAGATTGGATCATTTAGCTGTTCATGTAGTGAATCGTGATGGTCTGTCTGAGGGGATTTTGCTCTGTCTGGAATGTGATCTTAACTAGATGGGGTTGTTCCTATTAGTCCATCTCCTTATTTACCTAGTGAGAAGTGTAGGGCCCAGCAGTGGAGAAAAGTAGCCCAAATACTCTTCAGGGCATTGGCACATGTTTGTTAGTGTTGAATTTCATCTGCTGTAAAGCTGCCTCTTCACCTGATTTGGTTTAATGTCTGGACTTTTTACTCTTCTTTAGTTTTGGCAATAATAATTCTGCTTTTCCGCAGTTAGTGCTGCAGTGCTGATCATCATCTTTTCCGTATCAGTCCTTCTTAAACAACATCACTCCTAATGCATTATCTGGAGGAATATTGCTCTCAAACTCCTCCCCTGTCTCTCTGGATAACCTTTGGGGTTTTCCTTGTTGGTTCTTTTTGGCAGCAGTGTTACAGCCAGGACTGGCCTCACTGGGGACCTCAGCAGGATTTTGTCAAGAGAAAATTTGTATTTTGGGGCACAGGACAGGCAGAGGTGTTAATGGCATTTGGAGAAAGACTTAGTGAGGAGCTTGTGCTCAAGTGCTGTTAAACCATTTGCCATAAACCTTTGTGAATGAGAAACACAAGTTGTTCTTAACTGATACCAGAATAAGTACATCTACACTGTCTAATCTTAAATCAGCATCTCAGCCTTGGTGAGACGTTTACACATTTGTTTCAGAGGAGCTCTTTTAAACAGCTTGTCTTATTATTATAGACCCAAGATTGGCTTGGCTTCCTCCACTGTTATTACTGACTCACAAGATTAGGGTTTTCAAGACTTGTTGCTAAATGCAGAGAGATCCTGTCGGTTCATTCAGTAGTTCTAGGTATCTATTAACTTCATTTCTATAAAAAAAACACTGTATTTTGATAGGAATTCAGTTTGAGACTGGCTTATGAAAAGGACACTCCTGTTTTTATTGCTGTAGTTGTAATTAGCTCTACATCTTATTTTTGTTGTGTCAAGCACACTACCTAAACCAAGGGAGATGACTCAGTTGTGCCATATGTGAAAAGGGCACACAGGGTAAGGCCAGACTTCATTAATGTGGGTAGTCTTTCAGCCCTTGGATAGGAAAGGGGAAGTGCTGTTGTGGTGCTTGCATTGTAGCTGTAAAAATAAAGGTACATAAATAGAAGCACAGAAAATGCATTTGCTGATCATTCATTTGGACATCCATTAAGTCATTCTGTGGTGAAGGGAAATATTCTTCTTTCCTGGAGACCACACCAAAGGAAAAAAGATGCATATGGTATCTGCCATAATATTAATGCTGTGTTACCACTGATTGTCCCATCTCAGGGCACTGGGATGGGCAGTTTTAATCATTCTACCCTTTTTTATTGTTTTACCTGTGTGATGCTTTATTGTGGGAGCCCTCTGCTTTTACTGAGCCAAAGTGGAAATATTTATTTAATGAGTCGTAGCAGATTTTTATACACAGAGGGGTAGAGTTGAGGAACATGACTCATAGGAAGTAAAAAGATCGACAAATTCATTTTAACCATTTCTGTTCCTCACCACAGCCCTTCCCATTTAAGGGAAGGGAGATTGCAGAGGAGAAGAGGCAGAGTGTCCTACCATGGATTCCAGAGACACCTCTGCCTGATGCTCTCTGTTTTGACCCAGATCCAAGTGATAAGCAAACAGAGTCCTCTGGAATGTCTCCACTTGGATTTTTGGATGGTCAGCATGGTCAGAATGATCTTTTCTTGTTACTGACCCAAGAGAAAATGTTGATATTTATTTTTTTAATTTTTTTTTTTTTAATTTCTGTATAGTCAAAATAAAGTAGCTTCTGTAGTAGGTTATGATTTTTAATTACAGATTTTGATGCTGAGATCTGCAAGGTCTAAATCAGGAGGCTGATCTGGACTTGCTTAAACTTAGGGCTCAAAGCCAGAATTGATACACGTTCTACTTTCTAAAATGCAAGTGAATGCCTGGAATGGCTCATATTTCTAGGGGAGAAGTCTGAAATAATTAAATTGCAGCACAGTACACGATGTGGGTGTTTTTGAAGAAGGTACTTCTTGGTAATATGCAGCAGCAATTTTAATAACTTCCCTGTCCTGGGCTGGTTTAGATCCGTGGAGCCAGTTGGGAAATGTGCATTAGCATTGGAAGTTGCCATCTGAGTGACAACAAACAACTCCTGCTGCTGGAATGCTAACAATGACAAGTCATTTGGTACAGCCATTTGCCAGTTTAATGGCTTAAGCAGCTTAGTTTTAATTAAACAGCAGCTTCTGTGTATGATATCAGGGAAAATAATGTTCTGCTTACAAGTGGAGTTGTTTAGTGTTGTCCCTAACTTGCTGGAGACACCAACAGCCTCTTTCAAACAAACCCTTTTGGGGTATGGATGAGCCCTAATCCATTGCTTGAGTGCAAATTCAGCCTTGCCTTAGTGGCAGGAGCTGTTCCTTGGGAGGGAAGAGCTCCAGACATGATTCCAGGTATGAGTTCCCACAGAGTGTGTAGGTCTCCTTCACCTCTCTGCCAAACTCTAGGAGAGATCTAGGGACTGACTCACAGAGGGGTAAAATTCCTGGCAGAAGGTGCACCTGGCATGAACAAAAAGGGACTGAAGTATTCAAGGCTGGGTTGGATGGGGCCCTGAGCACATGGAAGGTGTCCTTGCTCATGTTGGAATGAGATGATCCCTAAGGTCCCTTCCAACCCAAGCCATTCTGTGATTCTGTGCTAATCTGCTGTAGAAGTGAGGGGTTTGGTGGTCCATCTGAATTTGATATCACAGAGAGTAAATGACAGGAGAAGTCCCCATGTCCATCATTCCCTAGAGGCTGGAAGCTAGGACCCCAGTTTTGTAGGACAGTCATGCTGGAAGTGACAACCTTGTCACCCTCAGGAGTCATTTTGCAAGTGGCAGAATACAAATTTGGTGGGGACTAACAGAACAAGGGGGCATTGCCACTTGCAGACACAGTTCCTGTTCTGAAATCATGCTGCTTTTCATCTAATACCTTTCCAAAAAGCCTTTTTTACCTGATCCCTCTGTGTGCCAGGAGCTGGGAGCTCCAATGAAGTCAAGATGCTTTGAAGGAATTTACCCACCTTCTTTATTTCTCCTTTTCATTTTCTATCCCTTCCTCTTCAGTCCTCACATACCTTTGAATTAGTGTGGGAAACTTATGCAAAATCTGATGTTACACCCATGTTAACAATAATAAGGAGGCAA